ATGCTTATTGTTCTATTTTTTTTGTTGGCATAGTGGCCTTGAAAAGGTGTACTCAGGTCCACCTGTTCCACCATGCCTTCCATGTACATGTGTATGAGGTGAATTGTAATAAATATAAATAATTTTGTTCACAATCAAGTAGACTACATGTATATTATAGTATGTAATGTCTTGCGGAGTGAAAGACTTCATACAGGTGGTTGTATTATATTTTATGTCCTACCTGGGCCGCGATTACGTTCGATACGGGTGTTCCGGCCCGTGTGATAACTAGCGGTACAGCCCGGGGGTTCTGAACGCGTACGGCCCGGCCCTTCCAAATGTTCCATAGACAGATTCGAACGCGTTTCGCCCCAACCGCGTGCAACGCTTCCGAAAATTCGAATGCAAAATTCGGACGTTGGAATTGATGTTGTTGCGTTTTTTTGGATTAGGGACACCAAATTTTTGCTCATTTCGCATTGAAAGGCGCGTTTTCTTGGGTGGGTATGACATAAATAAAATACAACACGGTGTATTCCGCATCACCCTCGGTCCCAGCCCTCCCGCGGATCGGATCACCCTCCGGCCTTCGGCCGTCGGGCGATCCGACGCGCGGTCGGGCTGGTACCTCGGGCGATACGGAATACACCGTGTTGTATTCTATATGTATATTGTACTGGGTGGGCTGCCTACTCTCTCTTTGCAGTCAAGCTTACAATTATTGGGGCTTAATCATAAGGGTCTGGAGCGGCTGTTATTCGGCACTAACTCAGGTGACCTCAATACGATCCCAGGAGTGGCCATTGGACTGTAAGGTTTGAACCACTCATACCAGGAAGGTTAGATTTTGATATACATGTATGTGGTGGGTTCTTTAACATGTGTGGGGTGTGGCTCTCCCAAACATGATAGGACCTCCATTTAACGTTCTATCCGGTAGTCAGTGAACATCAGGTTTGTAACGAAGATGGGCAAAACTGATTGAATTATTGGCGAAACTGACTGGGCGAAACAAACGAAGATTACACTCTTAGGTTCGAACTTCTTCAAAGCAGGAAACACCTGTCAATCAAATATATGTACGTGTAGTGGCACCATGGGAAAGGGACTTGCCCCAAAATAATTCTAAATTCAGTTTTACTCAAACTAGTGGTTTTGTTGATATACATGTAGGTCGCAATTTTGTGCCTTGCAGAAACTTTTTGATGCTGTGGCACACCGACATACATGTAACACATTATGTATTTGACCGCATTTATTTACTCCCAGGGCACAGGAAATTGACCTTCATCTTGCGTTGTTCTAGCGGAGAAGAGAAAATGTCTGACAATTTTAGCATTAGATTTTTGTTTGTTAAATCATACAAAGGCATCCATGCAACTATCATTTTTCCAACTTGTTCATAGCTATGTGAGTTGTTTATTGGAACCAGATGAATCTGAATAAACCAAGGAGGTTATAAAGTTAACGAGACCGCGTGCACCCACTGTGCTGATAATCCCCAATATTCACTAATTATCTACAAACTAGAGTTCGACAATCTCATACCTCCATGACATGTTTAGTGCTTTCGTAAAGCTTATGCATAGTGATGATCACATAAATGGCTTACATTTACAATCCTGCTCATTAGCAAAATTTTTATACAAATTATTCACATAGCCCCTACCTAGTAACATACAACACACTGGTGAAATCCTTACCATTTAACATGGACAACGTATGATATTGTTGGTTATATGCAAGTATGACCTCTGACATACCTTTGCCAACTCATGTTTGCCATCCAAGCTGACGAATTATACATTTTTTTACTGCCAATATGCAAATTATAAGAGCCCATTTACATATATTATATCATTTGATCATATTCTCCGCCCAATGACAGGGTTATCTTAAGAAATAAGGCTATTCTAGCGTTTCCTCATAAATTATGCAAATGTGGTCCTGATTTGAATAAATTATGTTTAGTGATGTTCGCCTTAATTGAACTTCCAAGTATGGCAAGTATTAAATTCACAGCAGTTACCACCATAAAATTGTACCAATTTGCCATTAATTATGCAAATTAGGTCTTCATTTACATAATCAATATCTACCAATGATCTTGTTGTTCTCAATTACATATGTCTAAAGTGTTTCATAGCCCTAATATGGAATACAGCAGATTTATAGAATTTCCTCATTAATTATGAAAATTAGATCCTGATTTGCATAATTGTATTCTAATCATGTCAAGCATCATTTCAGCTACCTACATACCAAAAATCATGACGATCCATCAAACAGTTGTTCAGTTACATGTATCCTCTCTCGAATATTTTTAAAGAAACCATCCTGCAGTTCCAGAACAAGCCGCTACGGGGCCCAAACTCATGTGACTTCTTCCCAAGCACGAGAGCTACCTATCATCCAAATTTCATGACCCTAGCATGTCCAGATCGCAAGATATCAAAACCGGAAGTTGCGCTGCAGTACCAAGGGAAGCCACTAGGGGGACCAAAATCTAATCATTTCCAGTTTTCGTCACACCCTACCAACACACCAAGTATGAAACCAATCCATCCAGGCGTTCTTGAGTTATCTTGTTGACCAACAGACGGACGGACAGATAAACGCAACTGAAAATATAACCTCCATGACACATTTCATGGAGGTAATAAGTGAAAATGAGGTGGATTATGTAAAATTGTAAATCTCAGAATACAAAGACTACTCATTGATGAAAAAAATCTTGCAAAAGATTTCTTACGCAGAAGAAGTTTCACAGTGGCATTTTACATTACCAGTGGACAGTTCTGTGGAAGTTCTGTGGGACATCTCACAGTCTTCCACAGGACGTCTTTTAAAAATTGATAGCATTACATACAATGTATTTTGTGGCCTGTGCTGTAAATACCTTGTTTCAAATTTCTGCCCCTGATGAGGTATCGCCAACAAAACGGTAACAATTTTCTTAATTGCCTTATCTTTTACCTGTAGATAGTTCAGCAGAGTCTGGAATGCTGAATTTGTTTGCTCTATTGCATCCACCCACGTGTAGTTAGTGCTGCTGGTTGTATTACCACCAAGGAAGCCAGCCAGCCAATCGGCAGTCAGCCATGGGTCAGGTCCCAGTCTCTCCTCTATGGCTGCATCAAACTGTTCAGCAAATAGTGGGTTTGCCAGATAATCCTGTAGAATGTAGAGAAACAATTTACATTAGTCACACATGAAATAAAACATTACAGAGGTGTCAAGGCGGTCTTATGGGTAGGGTTGTTAAGTTAAACCTAGAATCTGAAGGTACATGTACTGGGTTCATATCCCTGGCAGGCCCCAGTGTTGTACCCTTGGTAAAGGCACCTCACTTGAATTGAGTAAAATAAGTATCTAACTTTAATTTAGGGACATTCTCTTGGATGAGACCTAAAGATGGAGGTCCCGTGTTTGACTTCCAGCCTGTTACAGAACCCACTGGATTTATTCAAAGGAGTAAGCTTAAGGATCCTTCCTGGTATAGTTTTATGTACTGCTTCAAATGACTCCCATGCATAACATAAAACATACTTTTAGTATTATAGGATGATATTTCTAGTCAGGTTTTATCCCCTCGGATTTAAAGTAATGCATTTTACGTCTTTATAATTTACAGAGTAAAAAATGTGAAAACGCAATCAGATCACCCGGATGAAGTTGACGGTGTCACTGTTGGTCAGGGTGTCGTTGATCTCAGGAGACAGAACAGACAGCCAGGTGTCAGCAAAGTCCTCCAAACGGCTGATCTCTTGGAATGTAGCATTGGCCTAGAAAAACAATTCAAAGGAAGGACATGCACTTACATGTAAATTAACTCAAATAGACATTTTATGGAAGATTATGATTCCTAAAATGTAAATACATGTACAAGAAATTTTATAGCTGCCATTAATGTTACAATGAAACAGTCTTTGTATACAGAAAAAGGGTAAAGGATTTGATAATAGACATGCTCTTAACTTGAGAGATAAGGCTATTCTAGCATTTCCTCATAAATTATGCAAATTAGGACTATCCTGGGTGCTGAACTGACCATTCTGCTGACAGGCTGATATACATTGTATTACAACGACAGCATTCTCTTTTTTAGGGCTCTAAAAATAAGGTACATAATAGTTCTCGACCCCGACACTCGGGAAAACACAAAAACCACCTAATATCTGCTTATAGCACGTTGCCTACCACACAACTACATGTACATGTACTTAACCTACAGCCTATTCTACACAATTATAAAAATAGGGGTGTTTGTATAATATGCATTTAGGCCACACAGACTTAATTCTATGGATGACATCCGCGCACGCATTGATGTACAGGCATCATCACGGGCATGCCTGCAGATGATGTATCAAATTACATGTCGATAAAACAAGGGAACCATGAGTTTTACCTGCGAACATGTAAATCAAACTGACTACAATACTCCTGCAGGAGGGAAACCTCCTTCACAGAATAATAATGTGGGACTTCACAGAACTAATCTTGCAAGCAGGATATGTGTTTCGGAATTCAATATGGAATACTTCACCATCTCATGAGTTAAAATCTGTACCTCTTTGAGTATTTTCCTGACTGCAGGTGTGTCTGGGCTGTATGGGATCTTGCCTGCTAGCAGAGGTTTCAGGTAACTCCACAGGAACTTGGTCAGCCTCTCGCTGTCCAGCTGATGGAACAGCCTCTGGCAGAAGGGTGCTGTCGAACAGAAACACAAATTTCAGTACATGGTACATGTATTAACATGGAAGGGGTACCTGAAGCTACATTATTATGTTCCACTTGTATCAATTTACTTTTTTTTAATTTTCATGCTTGCCTATCACCCCAGTGGTAAATCATATCAACAATCACTCACTCACTCTCACTCAACTCAACAATACATAGGGGATATAATGAGCAGTATCATTATTATGTTAGCTTTAAAAAAAAGGTATATCAACACTCAAACTGGCAGTCTTTTTGCAGCCCACACAGTGGGAGTCACGCACTTAAATACCAGCCTATAAACACACGCACAGACACCTACAGATGCTCTTTTTTCCCCCGTACAGTTCCTCAGTGGAACTCCTTACCCGACCCGGTAGTTATGGCTCCCAATGTTGAGTCATTCTGGGCCGGGCTGGCGGCCTGCCCGCCTTAGCCTGGATCTCCTCTCCCCCTAACGGCACCCCTTGCGGGGTTATTTGGGGGTACCGAAGAAGGAGAAGAAGAATATAAATTTTATGCCTCCCCTTTTAGATACATGTATTCTGAAGCTCTGAAAGACCCTTACTTGTCCTGTTGTCTTTGGCAAAGTCACCTGCATCATTCTCATCATCTTTCTCAAAGTAATCTCGAAACTGCACAGACTGCATGGACTCCTGGGTAAACTGGAGCATGTTTGCTGTGAAGGAGCCAACATTCAGGGCATCCTCCCTCCCACAGACAAGGAGTCCCAGGGACGGGACGGTCCCGTTTTGCTCACGAAGAAGAGCCGTGATATTTTGCACATCATTGATGATCGACTGGAAGCTACCCAGGGCACCAATCTGTGAAGGGAACACCAGAACAGATAAAATTCTTCTCATGAATCAGACGATCAGAAGAAAATGTTAAGATGAATGGGTGAGAGGGTAAATTTCTCTCAGGGCTCATGAGTGCTCCTGGTTAAGGTTAAATTTTGAGAGTGCGACAGTCACTACACATTTGAAATCACGGTCGCACGGTGCACCAATAAAAAATTAGGCCTGCACCTACTGTAGTAGATAATTGGTGCTTTTAGTCTTAACTAACCTAAAATGTCATCAGGACCAAAAGTTGTCTTATTCTTACAACTTAATCTAAAGTTGCATTATGTAACCACAGCATGACACACAAAGTCAATTTTGAATCAACCCTACCCCATTGGCATTGCAAATATTGTAAGTAGCAAATAGCTGCCATTCAGGAAACAAAGGTGAAAAACATGACAACAATGTGTTTTAAAAGCTGGAAACGCAGCTGTCAGCCATGTTTGTTTAAATGTACGTTCTGGTATTTAGTGGTGATACCAAATTCTTGTTCGTGGAGGTAACAATGAGAGATTGCCACAAAACTGATACCTATTATTAATAACACAATTACAGACTGTATCAGCCTGCAATACCTACATCTTCTGACAGGCGGCGAAGTCGTTGGAAAGTAGAGTTCCACCTGGCCTGGGCTGCTTCAGGGTCCAGGGAAGTGTGGTCTTGTACAAAATTGAAGAGCTGCAAAGTTCAGAAAACACTCAGGTTAATAGTGATCCATAAATTGGTGGAAATGATACATTGTGAAGAGTAGTCCCTCAATACAACATAAAACTGGAGATTGTGCTTGTGTTCACATTTGTACATACATTTTGTATCATAACTATTATACATTTTGTAATTGCCTCCATGAAAAATGGAGGTATTGTTTTTGGTGTGTCTGTGTGTGTCTGTCTGTGTGTTTGTGTTTACGCACATTTGTAGTCAGCATAACTTCATAACGCCTTTATGGACTTTCTGGTGAAATCTTGAAAAGCCAGTAAGTCCAGATAGGAACAACGTATTTTCATCATTTTTGTGTGTAGGTAGCTGAGAGAGAAAATTGCAAATTATGCAAATGATGCCTAATTGAGCATCATTTAGGTGCTCAAATAGCTCTCTAACCTCCTCCAAGAACTTGGACCAGTCCACATCCCGTTGGAACTCCCTGGCCAGTGCTGTCAGGTTCTGTACAGACAGCCCGCACAGCGCTGTGGTCACATTGGAAATGACGTCAGGATCGGTGAAGATGATGAGCTTTCCGAGAAGGGTTTCATTGCACACAATCCGACGAAGGGACACGCGGTCTGTGAATATCAGCTGGACAGCCTGGAATAAGGAACCAGGGACAAACACAGTTAGGGATATGAAAGCTTCATTCAGCCTTCATATCAGTAACTGGTCTAAGAGTTTGAGGAACACATGCCTTCCTCAAGTCAAGAGTATTTCTTTTAAAAAGTGTTAACTTAGTATTTTTAACCTTTTAAGCAAGATTAAGCAAGATAAGTCATAAAGATAAACTTTAAAACATTGACGCAAAACTGCCCATTGAGATAAGGCATTGATAGGGTAGAAAAAGCAATTACTAATAGTACATGATTGTATTCTTTAAATATGCTAAATCATAAATATTAATGGCACATCCCATGAACATCATTAAACGAAAATCAACCTCTTCTATTTCCCTAGTCACTTTTTAACCTTAATTTTTTTTTTAAATTTAATGCTCTAGTTACCTCCATTAAAAATGGAGGTATTGTTTTTGGTGTGTCTGTGTGTGTGTGTGTGTGTGTGTGTGTGACTGTCTGTCTGTCTGTCTGTCTGTGTGTGTGTGTGGGTGGGTGTGTTTCCGCACATTTGTGGTCAGCATACCGGGTAACTTCAGAACGCCTTTATGGATCATTGTGATGATATTTGGTATGCTGGTTAGTCAGGAAGACGAAGGTCAAGGTCAACTATGGGCCTCCTGGTGGATGACCTTGGCACTGCAGCAGAACTTCCAGTTTTTGTATCTTTTGTCCTGAACATGCTATGGTCTTGACTTTTTGGTGACAGGTAGCTTTTCCTGTCAGGAATAAGTGGTGTGGGTTTGGTACCCCTAGCAGCTTATTCTGGAACTGCAGGGGAATTTCTAGTGAAATTTTTAAAAGCCAATAAGTCCAGATAGGAACAACATATTTTCATCATTTTTGGTGGCTGAGAGAGAGAGTTGTACATATTTAAATGCAAATTATGCAAATGAGGACTTAATTTGCATAATTAAGGAGGAAATTCCATAATTACAGTGTTTTATATAATAGTGCATAAGCATTTTTTTAACTTCACCTTTGTTTCCATAATCACAACTACTTACATGCTACATTACCTGTACATTTTGTTACTGTAACTTACATAATGTTACATGTACATTTTGTACCTACCAAATGTCAAACATCCATTTACAGCTCCTCTAGATATGCTGTACACATGCTGTACATGTACAATCAACAATTTGAACAAATGCATAAAAAGCCCCCTACAGTACCGTACAAACCACCAGGTGCACCATTTTGACCTTGACCTTTTTTACAACAGCTACCTATATACCAAATATCTAAAAGATCCATCCACAACTTCTCGAGTTGTGATGTTGACATACAGAATGATGCACACCACATGCACATCCACTCCACCAAGCCTAAACTGAAGAAAACATACCACTGTGACAAAAGATGGAAAAAATTGTCCACATGGAAATTTTTTGTAATTAGATACAACAACAAGATTTCAATTGGCTGACAAACCACTTGGCCGCTCGCTCACGTGACTGCCGAACTCTCTCAGTTGGTTTTGTTTTTGAGGAGACTGGTCATGTTTTCGGCTCAAACCTTTTGAATTTCAACCTACCACCTCCCAAACACCACCTTAGCTCCACTGTACTAACAAGAATAAGTTTAACATATTGATATGTCGTTAGTTGAACGTTCTCAAGTTATTGATAGGCGTTTCTCTGGAAAGTTCAAAATAAACTGTCCCGTTTCCCGTACATGTAGATAAGTTTACCTATATGCACCTACATTGTAACGGTTTCCATACATGTAAGTTCCATAGAATAATTCAAACATGTTTCATACTGTATGAATGTTCCATGTGCTGCACTTTCAAAAATTTGAATACCAGAGTCAGGCATTGGCATCAATGATTTTACAATTTTTTCAACTTTTTTTTTTTTTTTCTATCATGTGCTAGTGTAAACAATAGCCTGGATTGTGACACTCCTGGCTAATCATTGGTTTACAGCAAAGTTGCAAAGTTCTAGCTACATGCAGAAGTCCTGGTGGTGGAGAGAAGATGCCGGTGTGCTCTTGTTTTGAATGACTGGAGGTTGTTGTCAGTGATCCGGCCCACCACGTTGTCTGGAAGACTGTTCCAGATGTCAACTGCAGTGTGTATGAAGGTTCTGCCGGTGGCATGAGTTCTAGAGACCGGCACAGTGAGGGCATGTTTTCCAGTGGAGAGACTGCTGCGGGTTGTGCGTCTGATTGTGTAAGGTTGGGGAAGCATCTTTTTCAGGTCTGGTGGGCATGTGGACATGTGCATTTTGTAGATTAGCGAGACAGCGGCCACCTGACGTCTGTGGAGTAGTGGTGGGATATTCAGTTCGGTTGTGGCATCATGTTCGTTTACACCAATGATACGTAATGCTTTTTTCTGGATGGAATCAAGAATTTTTAACGAAGTGACAGAAGCCCCATCCAACATAATGACGCATATTCCATGACGCTTCGTACCTGGGCCTTGTACACTGTGGCTCTCCCTTTGGTGTGAAGCTTTTGGGCAACTCGCCGCATAGCTCCGAGCTTTTGTCCAGCTCTTGCACCAATGTTGGAGATGTGCTTGGCCCAGGTGAGCTTTTTGTCAACAGTGACACCAAGGATATCCAATTCGTCCTTTTCTGCCAGTCTAGTGTTACCAAAGAAAAGGTCTGATCTTGTTGGATTTCTCTTTCTGGAGATGGTCATTGCTTTACACTTAGCTGGCTCAAAGGTTACTTTCCATTTGACAGCCCAGTTACTCATGTTCTGCAGGTCCCTATTCAGGCTTTCTGTTGCCGCTCTGCTGTCATCACCTGTCTTGATTACACAGAACAGGTTAGAGTCATCAGCATACAGATAGAGAGGGTTTTCACACTCGTCTTCCAAATCATCTATGTACACCGAAAACAGCAGGGGTCCCAGAATAGAGCCCTGAGGAACAGAAGCATTGATCAGTGTGGTGGTTGAAGATTGACCAGACAGAACAACTTTGATGGAACGATTCAAGAGGTAACTTGAGATCCAGGTAAGTAGCACCCCAGAGACCCCCTTGCTTTTCAGTTTGGAGCAGAGTCCGTTATGCCAAACCTTGTCGAATGCACCCTTGATGTCCAGGGCTATGACACGTACTTCCCAGCCTTTGTCCAGAGCACTGGGCCATTGCTGGGAGAGAATAGTGAGGATATCAGCAGTGCTATGATGAGGTCTAAATCCGAATTGTCTGTCTGATATTAGATGGTTTTGTAGTAGGTACTTCTGAAGCTGCCTCTGTACCACTGCCTCCATCACTTTGCTGATGTTACTGAGCAGGGAGATGGGGCGGTACATGGAAGGGTCAGACTTGGAGTCCCTCTTGTGGATTGGGATAACTGATGCACACTTCCATTGGCTCGGAAACATCCCGTGTGCAAAACAGAGCTGAAATAGTCGGCTTAGTGGACTTGCAAGCTCGGCACAACACTCTTTCAGTACTCTATTGGGAATTGCGTCCGGTCCATTGGCTTTGTCTGGTTGTAACTCCCGAAGGATCTGTCTGATCTCTTTGGGTTTGAAGGTAATACTCTTCAGAGTGTGCAGTGTTGTCACCGGGACTTCTGGGGCCAACTCTTCTGCATTCTCCAGTTGGCACTTCCTGGCAAAGGTTTGGGCTAATATTTCAGCCTTCTCTTTTGCTGTGGTAAATGTGTGTCCTTCAGCTTTCAACACTGGAATGTTGGCTCTGGCTTTCCTGCCAGAGAGAGTGTTCACAGTGTTCCACCATTTCTTACTTGTTAGGCTACCATCAGTCAGTTTGTTCTTTAGTTTCTTGTTGTATCTTCTCTTTGCTTGTTTCTCAGCCCGGTTGTACTCTTTTCTGGCTTTTGTGAACTTGTCTCTGTTTTCAGGCGTGTTGTTACTCTTAAGTTTCCTGAACAGTCGTCGTTTCTTCTTTGCAGCTGTCCGGCAACGGTCGTCAAACCATGCTTTGTCACCAGTCTTATTGGTGACCAGTTTGTTAGGGATGAAGATTTCCATTACATCACAAATGATGGTCGTGATTCTGCTGCAAGCTTGCTCCGGGTCATCTCCCTGGAAGGCATCTCGCCATTCTGCAGAAGAGAGATATCCCCTCAGGCCCCAGTAGTCTGCCTTATCGTACTGCCAAACTTTACGCCTGTAGGGCTTGTCCCTATAGATGGGAACATCTATCTTAAGTAGGACCGGGTTGTGGTCAGAGGTACCAAGTCTTGCAAAAGTTTTAGCAGAGGAAGGGAGGTCGGTCAGTACAAGATCAAGGATCTGGCTCTCCCTTGTTGGTTCAGTGACAATCTGTTTTAAGCCAAAAGAGTTGGACAACTCCAGCAAGAGTCGGCCGGCTGCATCTGTTGTACGGCTGCCTAGCCAGTTTTGGTGATGTACATTGAAGTCTCCTAGCAGAACAACAGATTGGGCGCTAAAGGCAGTCAATTTGGATAGGATGCTGTTATCTAGGTAGTCAATGATATCACTGTTGCTGCTTGGTGGTCTGTAGACTGCAGCTACTAGCAACTTATAGGATTTTAGGGCTACTGTGAACCACATCAGTTCCAAGTCTAGGGGATCTTGGTCTTTATCATGGAAGATAGCAATCCCTTCTAGGCAATAGACGACGATTCCTCCCCCGGATGAGGTAGATCTGTCTCTGCGGCAGCAGAGAGAGTATCCAGGGATGGTGATACAGTCATCTCCATCCTTCACAGTGGAGTCCAGAAATGTTTCAATGACAACGACAATTGTTGGCTTAAGTTCGTGGCACATGTTGGCCAATTCACCCAGGTTTGAGCAATATGCTCAGGTCCAGTTCTCGTAGTCGTTGGGCATTACTAGGTCGTTTCCGGTTAGATCCGTCCGATCGAGGCTTAGCATTACACTTTGTAGCAAGAACAATTGCAGGGTGAGGGGTTGCTAGCCCCTAACCCCAAGAACACATCTTGACGATGCGGCAGGAGTGCGCGCTATACATGACCTGAACTGAAAGCATCCGAAGACTCAGAACAGTTCGGGCAGTCAGATGTTGAGAGACGCCACTTAGTCAAGGATTGGGTGATCAGCGCAAGAGGAGCACCCCCACTAGACGATGTAGTATGTAGTATTACTCCCACAGGCTGAGACTGAGGCATATTTCGTATTGAATTTTGTTTTCTGGGGGTTATGATATATAAAATACAACAGAGTGTACTCCACCTCCCCCTCAGCCCCAGCTCTCCCACAGGTTGGGACTGAGGGTGACAGTATGTAGTATTACTCCCACAGGCTGAGACTGATGGTGACAGTATGTAGTATTACTCCCACAGGCTGAGACTGAGGGTGACAGTATGTAGTATTACTCCCACAGGCTGAGACTGAGGGTGACAGTATGTAGTATTACTCCCACAGGCTGAGACTGAGGGTGATAGTATGTAGTATTACTCCCACAGGCTGAGACCGAGGGTGACAGTATGTAGTATAATTACTCCCACAGGCTGAGACTGAGGGTGACAGTATGTAGTATTACTCCCACAGGCTGGGACTGAGGGTGACAGTGTATTACCGTATTTCTTTCAATAAAGTTCGCACTTTTTTTACATTTCAACTCTCAAGTAGACGCCTCAGTCCAAAGCCAAAGTCGGGGTGCGAACTTTATTCAGGTTTTCCCCCGAGAAAAATCGCGAAACAAGCCTGGCAGACGACCATATTTACGCACCATACTACCGCCTCGAACAGCAAGAAATTATTCACTTTTTATGTTTTTCATGTAACGATGTTACGTACATTTGGTAACAAATGCGTTATTGTTGAGTACTAAAATTGTTATAATGCTATACTGATATTAAAAATAATAATTTATGAGACACCGAATCGCTTGTCAGGCCGTGTAAACTGCGTACAGATCTTAGAGTACACGGCACGGCCGTGCATTTTCCCGATGAATAATACGGCTGAAATGCCAAAACATCCACAAATAACTTGATCAAATACTTAATGGAAACCTATGCCGAGGTCCACACTTCCGGGTTAAGTGACGACAAAATCACGTCGAAAACGCTAAAAATCCGCATAGAAGTATATATTTGCCCGACAGATTCTTGAAAATATGCATTTCTTCACTAGAATATTGATGTGTGGTTGTGGAAAATAACATTTTAGCGCCGATATCGAACAAAGAAAAGTTGTTTACACGCGCGTCGGTTTGCTTAGTTCTGCCGCTGCTGCTGCCGGCGGCAGATGCAGCAACCAATCAGAGATGCGAAATGCAGACACGTGACGCGAAATTTGCATACAGTGTGGGGTGAGGTAAACACAATGGGGGAGGGCAAGCGGCGCACGAAACATTTTTGCGTCAATATTCAGCGCCGTGTTTCAAGAGATTAATACCGGGAAACAATTTTTTCTTGTTTTTGAACACATATTTTACAAGTTCCTCTTTGAATAGCCGATTGAAAATCAAACAATTCGATGTCTGGTCGTTCGTGACGATACAAATCCGTAGATGAGCTTCTCAGCGTGAGCCTTGGTGCGAAACTGCAACCAACGAAATATTGACCCCAAATCACCGTAGCATTTTGCTAAAAAAATCCACAGCCGACGATTTTGCGTGACAAAAGAAAAATATTGGGACTTTATTATGTGCGGTGCGATTAAATATGGGGGGTTCGCGGGGACTGCGGCGCCCGGCAAACCCATGAAAAGGGGGTGCGAACTTTATTCAGGTTTTTCTGTTGACTATCTCAGCTGGCAAGAAGGGGCTTCCGATGAAGCCCAAATCGGGGGTGCGAACTTTATTTGGGGTGCGAACTTTATTGAAAGAAATACGGTACTCCCACAGGCTGAGACCGAGGGTGACAGTATGTAGTATTACTCCCACAGGCTGAGACCGAGGGTGACAGTATGTAGTATTACTCCCACAGGCTGAGACTGAGGGTGACAGTGTATTACTCCCACAGGCTGAGACCGAGGGTGACTGTATGTAGTATTACTCCCACAGGCTGAGACTGAGGGTGACAGTATGTAGTATTACTCCCACAGGCTGAGACTGAGGGTGACAGTATGTAGTATTACTCCCACAGGCTGAGACTGAGGGTGACAGTGTATTACTCCCACAGGCTGGGACTGAGGGTGACAGTATGCAGTATTACTCCCACAGGCTGAGACTGATGGTGACAGTATGTAGTATTACTCCCACAGGCTGAGACTGAGAGTGACAGTACAGTACAGGCCACGAAATACGCATCAAGTTCTGCGGGACGTACCGCGATATTCCGCAGGACGTCCCGCAATATTCCGCAGGACGTCCCGCAATATTCCGCACGACGTTCCGCAATCTTACGCACGGCGTTCCGCAATCTTACGCACGGCGTTCTGCGGTATTTCGCAGGGCGTACCGCGGTATTCCGCACGACGTCCCGCAGTGCACCTGAGAGCACTTTCGCAGAACTTTGCGAAAGTTCCGCAGAACACCTCTCCGTAAGGCCGCGTTTCCGCAGAAATACGTCCTTTTCATATGCAGGCCACCCGCGCCGTGGGCGGAGAAAGATCACACCCGGTTTGTTTACATTTTCTATAGCGCGGAGTGAAAATGTTCATGAGATCTGCCGATATTTTTTACCCAAC